GGGAGCAATGCTTATTTCATAAGCTTGTTTTAAGAAACAGGTTAATGAAGGCTTCTGCCAATAAGAATGACCCGAACAGTCAGAGTTTGTGAGCACCCTCCCTTCCCTTTCCTGGGACAGGGTGGACTCTGGTCCAAATAAAACCTAACAAGGCCCTAGGCCTGGCCCATTTCCATGGGCTGAAGAAACAAGCTCAATGCCCTTCCTCCCTTGAGCCATAACATTTTATTGATAGGTCAAAGGAAGAGCCAGGGGGTAAGGGTCCCTCCCCTCCCCTACCCTCCCCCCACCCAGGCGCATCCATCCCTCAGCTGGAAGCAGGAAGCCCGGAGGCTGCTGGGCTCAGGCAGTCTTGGTGGTGAGCAGGTTGTTGTAGTAGGCATCCTGGCCCTCGAGCAGGCTGCGGTAGGTGGCGATCTCCTGCTCCAGCCGCGTCTTGAGGTCCATGAGCTGCCTGTACTCCAGGTTCTGCCTCTCGGTGTCAGCGCGCACGTCACTCAGCTGGGCTTCGATACTGCTGATCAGCCCCTGGATCTGTGCCAGCTGGGCCCCGTAGCGCGCCTCTGTTTCTGCCAGCGTGCCTTCCAGGGCGGCTTTCTGAGGGCAGGGAGAGACAAGGTGACTCAGTGGAGCCTGCGCCCCTGTCCAGGCTGCCCAAGTCCGCAAGGGCACGAGTGTGCATCCCACAGAGAAGAGGGCACCTACCATGCTGAGCTGAGATTGCAGCTCGATCTCCAGCCCCTGGAGGGTCCGGCGCAGGTCAGTGACCTCCGTCTTGCTAACCTGCAGTTGCTCCGTGTGGCCAGCGACCTCCCGGTTCAGCTCCTCAGTCTGCAATCAGAGAGGTGGCAAAGGGAATCAGCCGGAGGCAGACCTTCGCCTCAGAGCATCAAGCCCTCTCTCCTTGCCACCCCCTACCCCCACCCTCCCACCAAGGGCACCTGCTTCCCCCTTCATACCTTGCTGGTGAACCAGGCTTCAGCATCCTTCCGGTTCTTCTCTGCCATGACTTCATATTGGCTTCTCATGTCAGTCAGGATCTTGGCTAGGTCAATGCCAGGAGCGGAATCCACCTCCACGCTGACCTGGCCACCCACCTGGCCCCTCAGAGCACTGATCTCCTGGAAAGACAGAGCAGAGGTGGGCATGTCAGGGCCCAGAGCCTGCTGGGCCTGGGCCAGGTCATTCCCCAACCCCGCAGGCCGAAGGGGGCTGGTTTTCGGGTGCAGACCTAGGAGCTGGCCCTGGGGGAGAGAGCGGGTTGCCACCATCCCCTGGAAGCCATGCTCCACACCCAGGGCCATGCTGAGAGTGCGGCCAGTGTGGCCGTGGTCAGAACATACAGGAAACAGGTGTCCTGAGGAGCCCTGGGAAGCCGGGGTGGCCCCGCTGGGAACCCACCTCCTCGTGGTTCTTCTTCAGGTAGGCCAGCTCCTCCTTCAGGCCTTCGATCTGCATCTCCAGGTCGGCTCTGGCCAAGGTCAGCTCGTCCAGCACCCGGCGCAGGCCGTTGATGTCCGCCTCCACGCTCATGCGCAGGTTCAGCTCCGTCTCGTACCTTTCAAAGGAAGTACTTGCAGTCAGACCAGCCTTTCCTCTGTGCCTCTGAAGACTCACTTCCTCACCTTCTTAAGGTCCAGGGTCCATGAGCGGTGTTCTTCAACCAGTGCCCCCACTGCACTAAGCCCCAAAAGGGCCTGGGATTGCCCTCCCCACCCCCACCCCCAACCTCTTACCCACCCCCCGACCCCGGCTTCTGCAGCCCAGCAGGGCAGAGATGCTCACTTGGTTCGGAAGTCATCCGCAGCCAGACGGGCATTGTCGATCTGCAGGACAACCTTGGAGTTCTCTATGGTGGCACCAAGAATCTGGAAGGCAGAAGGTTGGCAGTTTAGCACACTGGCACTGCCCACCACTTTCTTTTCAGAGAAAGGGGAACAAATGAGTGTGCCCCTGCCGCCTGGAGACAAGCCCCTCATCTGCCCATGGGCCTGCTCTCTGGGAGGCCTTAGCATCAGTCCTGCCCAGGAGGCGGAGCCGGGGGGGAGGGGGTGGTGATGAGCAGGGGAGGGCAGGCAGGAGAGCCTGGGGAGAGTGTCTCTGAGACCTGTGCCAGGGAAACTCCACATGATGTCAAGGAAGACAGCCTCTATGATATGCAAACCAGATGCAGGGAAGTGGGGGGGCAAGGGGGAGGGTAGGGGGTTACCCCTGTCTGTATCCCCCACTCACGGCATTCTGCCCCAAGGAAGGGAAGTCTGTTGAGCATCTATTAGGAGCCGGGCACCTGACACCTCTTTCATGTCAGGTCAGTGGGTACCTATTTCATGGGGGTGGGAAGTGAAGTTCAGGATTCCTTGTCACCCCCAATCTCAGGTCCCGTGACCTGAGGGGCATGGTCACACCATTAATCTACGTGCATCCAGGTCAGGACGCATTAGTCATTGTGCTGTGGGTGATTTGCATCGTTTTTAAATGGAACAGAACAGGGTGAACAGAAGTGATTGCTCACAGTAGGGTAAGGATGGCTTCCAGAAACTTTTCTCTCCACTGTGCATGTGTATGAGAGAACGTGAGGACTCATCTTAAAACGTATTTCCTAGCCCTAGCTGGTTTGGCTCAGTGGATAGAGCATTGGGCCCAGGTTCAATTCAGGTCCGGGGTTTGACTCCAGTCAAGGGCATGTACCTGGGCTGCAGGCTTGATCACCAATGTGTCTCTCTCACATCAACGTTTTTCTCTCTCTGTGTCTATCTCCCTCCCTTCCACTATCTCAAAAAAAAAAATCAATAGAAAAAAATAAATAGAAAAATATCCTCCGGTAAAAATGAACAAACAACAAAAATGTATTTCCTATCATAGGTCACAACTTAAAAAGTGCACTGTGTACCTCTAGGCTCCCTCCGTGTCTGTGGCCTGATCTATGTCCCAGCACCCAGACCCATGCCCATGGTGGACACTGGGCAGTGCTGTGGGGAGACCAGAATGGAGGCCCCCTCACTGGCTTCTCCTACATGTGTTCAGGACAGAGCTCCAAGCTCTTCCCTGTGGGCGGAGCCCAAGCCCCACCCTGCAGGCTCCCAGGGCCCTTGTAAGAGCCCAGGACAGAGAACTGGTGCCCAACGGGTCCTGGACAGCAGTCTCCACAGCAAAGAACCCCAAGGCCTCTGCATCTGCCCCTCCTTCACCCTGTCCAGGGGCCACCGCCAGCCTCTCCCATTTCTTCCAGATCTTCTCTCAAGTTCCAGGTGATTCCCTAGGCCTGGAGGGAAGGGCCTGAACGTGATGGAAACCAGACCTGGCCCTGGTCCTCCAGAGACAAGGAAAGCAGAGGCCCGGGGGGGGGGGGGGGGGGGGGGGGATGCTGGGGGGACAGGGAGCAGCTTGAGACAGGGCTGGCCTGGGATGGACCAGATCCCTCCAAGGCCACCCGCCTCTCCTGCAACATGCCCCACCCACTTACACCCCCCCCCCCCCCCCCCCGCAGTTCCACACCCTGGTCCCTCTATCTGGCCTCCACTTCCTGCTCCATTGTCTTCCCCCCTCCCCCTCACCTGCCCCCTTCTCTCCTGCCCACCCTGCGGCCCTCCCAAGTCCTAACGGGCTCATTCCCGCCCCGCCCAGAAGTGGCCCCACCGCCCGCAGCCCCGGCCACCGCCTCTCTCCCCGCCCCGCCCGCAGGGCTGGAGGCGCGCAGGCAGGTGCACCCCCAGCGCCCCGGCGCGCCCACCTTGTCCCGCAGCTCCTCGATGGCCTTGAAGTGGTGGCTGTAGTCCCGCGCGCCCGACCCGGGCCCCTGCTTCAGGTACCAGTCTCGGATCTTCACCTCCAGGTCGCCGTTGGCCGCCTCCAGGGCGCGCACCTTGTCCAGGTAGGAGGCCAGGCGGTCGTTGAGGTTCTGAATGGTCACCTTCTCGTTGCCCATCAGGAGCCCGTCGGAGCCGGCCACGGCGCCCAGGTAGCCGCCGCCGTAGCCCCCAGCGGAGGACGCGGACACGAAGCGGGCGGAGGACACCGACACGCCGCGGCCGCCCGAGCCGCCGTGGATGCTGGGCGCGCGGTAGGCGCCCCCCACCTCTAAGCGCATCAGGCCGCTGCCTGGGCCCCGAAGGAAGAGGCAGCCGAGGACTGGCGATAGCTGTAGGAAGCCATAGCAAGAGAGGACTGGCGAGAGAGGACTGGTGGCGACCCTGGTCGGAGGAGCTGTGGTCCGAGGGAGGAGTGACCAGGCTCTCACCTGGAGCTTTTTATGCTCGAGGGGAGGGGGGTGGGGACCGGGCGGGATATCTGAGGCCGAGGAATTTGCTGGCTGCTGAGTGCACACACGGGCACTCTCCCCATTGGCCAGCTCCTGGTGGCTCTGCCTCCAACTCTCTCTCCTCCCAGGGGCCGGAGGCTCCAGCCCTGAGGGAGCCGCCCGCCCAGCCCACTGGGCCCCCAGACCAGGCTCTCCCTCTGGCGCCCGCTTGTTCCCATCTGCACCCCCAGCACCACATGCTTAGACACCCCTTTCCAGTGCACACTCTGACCCTCCTTCATCAGATCACCCCAGGAATTAGGGCCCTGGGAGAGTGTATGCGGCTCCCTTCCTCCCCCAGGGATCATTCGCTCACAGTCCCCCTCAAGAATCCGGAACTGAGCCCCTTCCTTGTGATCATAATTAACCCCCAAAGTACATGTTCCACATTCCTGCACCTGCTCAGAATGACAGCCTCTGGGAGCCCACCTCTTGGGGACCACCCACACCATGACTCCCCCTTGCAGCCCCCCAGATGAGAGTGCTGGGAGGGGCACGCTTGCCTGCCTGCCTGCCTGCCTCCTGAGACAAAGCTGCCCCACCCTGCTGTGTCCATACACAGCCAGGAAGTGACAATGGGCTCCTGGGAACAGCTGCTGGGAGCAGCTCTGCAGCTGGACGGTGAAGGGCACCTTCACACCTGGGGCTGGCCCCTCACTCTGGGACTCACCCCAGCCCACCCCACCTCACCCCACCCCCCATCAGGACAACCTCCTACCCTCCAACCCCCATGAATGATCCATGATGGGAATCCGAGCCGCAGGGAGGCAAGTAACTTGCCCATGAGACATTTAGCAACTGCCACCCAGAAGAAAAAAATAGGATGGAATCCCTCTCTCCGTGTGAGCATCTGCAGGCGGTGTCAGAGGCTGAATCCTTGCCCCTCACAATCTCATCCTAGTGGGTGGGTGGATGAGAGGGCCCTGCAAGGATGCCCACAAAGTGACGTTTTGCTAATAGAGGAAGGAGCCCCTCCTCTCCACTCACAGCCCTAACCCAGCTCTACATGCAGCCCAACCATTCCATCTCCTTTCTCATCACTATGAAGGGCCAGGCCCCCTGCCAGACCCTGCCAGGCACTGCCAGCACCTCAGCCATTTACTGTCCCCAGGGGCCTCACCCTCCACAGAACTGTCCCCATGGTTCCTTCCGTCCTTCGGTCAGAGCAGTCCCCCAGGCTCAGGACAGAGGCCCTATGACCTATTGACAGAGTGTTAGGGAGTTGGGCCAGTCACGCCCTATCGCTACGCCTCAGTTTCCCCCATGAAATATCAGCCCTCCGATCTGCACATTATCATCTGGGTCACCTGTGGCTAAATGAAGACTTGTCCCCAGACACTGAGACCATGTCCCCAGTAAACTGTCTTCTGTCCACCAACGTACCCAGGAACAGGGACAGGTTACCCCACACGCACACACCTATCACCCCACCCCCTGGCCCCAGGAGCAGCCCTAGCCACTAGGAAGACCAGCCTCAGGCTGTTTAAACTAGTGAAGCAGGCCTGCAAGTGGGTAGGTCCCCAATGGGGAAAAGGCGAACAGAGTCATGAAAGCAGGGTGTGGCCGGACCTTGACAAAGGTTGTAGCCTGTAGCCACTGGGTCTGGTCTGACATGAGTCACTCTCTTTATTTGGCCTTGAGGAAGAGGCCTGCTCCTGGTGGGGGAAGAGATGGGCCAGATAGTTGCTATGTACACTAAGGCCCAGCCAGAATGTCTGTTTTTCCGGCGTGATAGGGGCGTCTGGAAAGGAACTTTGTATTAGAAAACAGACTAAAACCAGTGGTCCCCCCCCCCGCTCCCCCCCCCCCCGAAAGATTAAGGGATTGTGAGTTCCCTAAATTTCAGAGGAGCTTAGAGTCCCAGCTCCCCACCCCAAGACCATAACCATCAGAACAGCTGGCTGTAGTATAGGACCTTTTACCAAGGCTTTTCAAATCCCGTTGGGTCCTCACAGCAGCCCAGTGGAAAGGGTATCCTTATCCCCATTTTACAGATGAGGAAACAGAGGCTCCAAGGGGGGTAGTGATTTGCCAGAAGTCCACAGCCAGGAGTGTCAGATTCGGGCTTCCAGCCTTTGTAGAATGGGTGTGGCACCTGCAGGGAGGGTGGGGGGGATTGGGGATATTTAATCCCCTAACCCAGTGGTCCACAAACTGCAGCTGGCGAGCCACATGCGGCTCTTTGGCCCCTTGAGTGTGGCTCTTCCACAAAATACCGACTTCTGTGCATGGGCCATGAAGTTTCAATCGCACTGTACATGCACGCCCGCATGTGGTATTTTGTGGAAGAGCCACACTCAAGGGGCCAAAGAGCCACATGTGGTTCGTGAGCCGCAGTTTGCCGGCCACTGCCCTAACCTAAACAAAGGAGTTCCTGCTCCTGGCTCTCTTGGTTCCCCTGCATTTACCCCCGTGGCCCACAGCCATGGGGATCCCACACACAATGGACAATGGGCTGCAACTAGCTGATGTTGAACTGGACCCGATGCAACAAGGAAGGGAAATGCTGGGCATTGCTTTGCTTCTAGCTCTCCTGAACCCCCAGCTGCACTTCTATGACTGGACTAAGGGACATGGGACTTTGGAAACCCAGGGATGTAATTCCACACAAATAAAAAAAAAAATCACTCATTCTCCAGACAACTCTTTCTTTTGCGATATCGTCAGAACTCCACACCCAGGACTCAGTGGGGAAAAGAATACCCAAGTTCCCCAGTAACAAAACTGCCATTTTCCAGAGAATTTCCTCAATCCATTGAGATTTTGCTTCCCAGCAATTGTTGTCAGTTTGGCTCAAATAAACTCATAAAAATAATCTTACAGGTTTGGCCCTAGCCGGTTTGGCTCAATGGATAGAGCGTTGGCCTGTGGACCAAAGGGTCCTGGGTTTGATTCCAGTCAAGGGCATGTACCTTGGTTGCAGGCTTCTCCCCAGCCCGGGCCCAGGTTGAGGCTTGTGCAGGAGGCAACCAATGTGTTTCTCTCACATGGATGTTTCTCTCTGTCTTTCCCCCTCCTTCCATTCTCCCTAAAAATCAATGGGAAAAGATCCTCGGGTGAGGATTAACAAAAAAACAAACAAACAAAAAATTCTTACAGGTTTGGATGGTTCTTATGTTGACAGAGCAAATGGAGAGAGCACTTGCTTCTGCCCAGGAGCACTGAGAGGTGTTTTATAGAGGGCAGGACACTTGACTAAGAGACTGAAAGATAAATAAGTGTGTGGGGGGCAGAGGAGGGCCTGGATGAGTGAGTAGATTGCTGATATCAGTTTTGGGGAACATCCAGTGACTCAGTTTGGGGGCATGTGGGGAGGGGAGGGGCCAAGGAAGAGGTGGAGGAAGGGGGTGGGAGTGGGGGGGTTGAGGGCTGTACTTCAGCCAAGGAGTTGTTGGACTTGATGCTGAAGAAATGGAAAGTCATGTCAATCCTTTGTATTTCAGAAGTTGCCAGAGTTCCAAGTGGAGAGTGGTTTGGTGGGAGGGAGGGAAGCATGGCCAGGGGGAGGGAGGCCAGTTAAGGGTCTGCTGAGATAGGCCATGTTAGAGGGAGAGGGCCTGAACTCCTCCCAGTAATGCGGATGGAGAGTTGAGGACAGAGACCAGAGATGCTGGCCACGCTATGGGCAGCTCCAGGCCTTGCTCAGGCCAGGTGGGTGATATCAGGATGACCCAGGGCCAGCATCCCAGGTCTGTCGCCACTCCTCTCTGTCACTTCCCACAAGTGGAAACCCAGGAAAGGTGAGGCAGGGCGGCTGGGTCAGGATGGCCCATGGCGTTCCCCAGAGGAGGAAAACTAGCCTGACTGGAACCTGGGCCAGTCATGGATGAGGGGAGAAAGCTCTGAGTCCTAGGGACCAGCCCCTTGTCCAGGCCCGTGGGGAAGGGAGAGGGTCAGCTACCCCCCAAGTGTCACATTCCACACACAGCTGGAAGACCAGGACTGCCCACCCATCCAGGGACTGAGTGTTTACTGGATCAGGCTTAGGGGGAGGGGCCTGGCGGGCTACTTGGTCTGGGAGAGAGAGCTCTTTCTGCCTCTGCCCAGACCCTGGGCTATTTGGGCCGCATTTGGAGCCCTGTGCCAAGCCTCAGCTCATGCCAACTGGGCATGGGGAGGGCCAGACCCAGGACAGAGAGGAAGAAAAATGTCCTGGTGCCTGCCTGATTTCCGGGTTCTCTGCTTCCTTTTCAGCCAGCTACCTTCCCTCCCACCAGGATCCTCCAGGGAAACAGCCCCCCTCAGGAACAAAGACTCTAGGACGTGGCACTTCTTCTGTTTTAAAACTCATCTTTCTGATCCATGAATCCCCAGTGAGCTCTACAGAGCACTTCCTGGCCTCACTCTAGCGATGTTCCTATCCGGGACCTGACATTGTCTTTTTTAGGGTCAGGTGTGGCTCTAGGGCCCCAGTTCTCTCAGCAGTTTCACTGAATACCTACTATGCACTGAAGGCTGGCACATGGCCAGGAGGTGACATCCCTGCCCTCCAGGAGGGACCAGGCTCGTCCTCAGGCCTGGAGCAACCTCCTTCCTCACCCGTCTCCTCCCGCTAAGGATGCCCGTAACTCCAGTTCCTCTTTGGGCACCACCTCTTCTGGGAGGTCCACTCAGGCTGGGTCCATTTCACCCCAATATATGCACAGGCCCCTGGGTCACCCCATCACATGGCACAGCTCTGTCTCCCCAGCTAGACGTGGAGCTTCAGTGCTGCATGTAGCCCCAAGGCCGATCCGAGCTAGTAAATGTTTACTGATTATTTGCTGGAAAAGAGGAAGAAATGGGAGAAGCCCTTTTTATCATTCAACCAATAATGATGCATTGCTCTCTATGTACCAGGCACCTTCTATTATCAAACAGAAAGAGTTTGTCCACCCAGCACTAATAGAATCAAACACTAAATACTGAGAATTGCAGCTGAGAAATATTATTATGAATGACACCACCCAGGAGAACAGGAAACTAATGCTCAAAACCCCAAACTCACCCAGCTGGTGTGGCTCAGTGGTTGAGTGTCGACCCATGAACCAGGAGGTCGGGGTTCGATTCCCAGTCAGGGCACATGCCCAGGTTGCGGGCTCAATCCCCAATAAGGGTCGTGCAGGAGGCAGCTGATCGATGATTCTCTCATCATTGATGTTTCTCTCTCCCTCTCCCTTCTTCTCTCTGAAATAAATAAAAATATATTTTAAAATAAATAAATAAAAATCTTTTGTTTTCCAGATATAAGGGAAATTGTTTTTCTTAGAGCGATTAGGTAAACTATCCCGTTGTAAGCAGCATTGAGACAGTTTTATTTTCTCCCTCCTGAATGTGGAAATGAATATTATTGTTTTCATGACACTATGTTTGTTTGCGTAAATTCAGTAAGAACCTGTTCTTTTATAATGGGACACAACTGATAACTGGTTTCATTAACCAAGACTTTGGCTGGAGTGTCATGCGTGACAGAGATGTGTAGACTCAGATGTCACCAGAAACTTTGAAGAATTAAGGTTAACTTTGGAAGCCAATAAAAGCCTCTTGGAAAAACAGCCTGCTACCTAGCTTGCATGGTTGACAGCAGTCTTTCCAGGTGAGTAGCAGAGGTTGCTTTCCTGGGAGATGGCAAAGAAAGGGCCTCAAAACATTTGGGAGACATGGAACCTGGGAATTTACCCAAATCTATAGGTGTCGCAGGCTAAGATCGGTGGCCAATATGTGCTTGGCTTCTTAGCCTTGAGAGGCCAAAGTTCAATCTGGAAATTCTGTATGAAATTCCAGAAAAGCAGATTTATAAAGAGCCTATATGATCAATTGTGGGTTTTTTTTTCTTGTTGTGTTTATGCAAATAATCAGGCCAAATTTATTGAAACTAGACTTATGCAATAAATTAGTCTTCCTTTGTCTATCTTCGATAAAATTGAGGATGATTTTAGGGAGAGAAATTGTGTTTCAATATAATTCACAGTCGTGGATGTTAGATTCTAGTTCAGTCGACTGTCATTAAAGTTTTATTTTTTCACCTATAAACTGGATCCTGAATCTTTCTAGTTTTCTTAAATATGTAGCTACCACTCTCTAAACGAATGTGTTTTTTTCCTCCCAGTCTTTGACTTGGAATTAGTGAGAGCTAAAACTGTTTGGGGTTTTTCTGAGAAGACATGACGTTAACTTCAGAGACATCATCACAATAGCTCATGGTTCAACCATCTCAGTGACTAACTCCGTGAAGCCACACAGATAATCTACCTGCTAACCCATGAGATTGTCAGCGACATTCCAACCGCGGAGCAGGACAAGCTATCCAACTGTCGCTGCTGCCTTCATTCCAGAAAAAGAAGCTCTGAGCCAGGTGTTTAGAAAGCTTCTCCACTGAGTCTGACAGGCTCAGAAACTGGTTTTCAGGTGATTGATCTGTGTGTGTTTCTTTCTTTTGTTTGAATAGACACGCCCCTTATTCAATACCTCCTTGCTTGCTGACAGGACACAGACCACAGACCTCACTTCGGAGACCAGCTGCATCACCGCCTCCTGAATTCACACTCAGCAATTGAACTGAACTAACTTATTCTAAGGACTGAGTTATTGGATCGATGAAATGTGGAGCCACCTACCAATTTAGCTCCTGAAAGGGGAAACTCGTTTAAAGTTTCAAAGGCGGAACTGAAGGGACCGAAAGTGTTGCCACCCCGAAGCAGCATTTTGGGGATACAGTGGGGCCTTGACTTACGAGTGTCCCGACTAACGAGTTTTTCGAGATACGAGCCGTCTCTCGGCCGATTTTTTGCTTTGAGTTGCGAGCTAAAATTCGGGTTACGAGTCAGCTTCAGATACCCTACCGCTAGTTGGCGCAGCGAACGTCACAGTGAACGCCACAACATCAGCCCAGCATCACGTGTCTCACTCGTTCACTTTTGATTTGACATACGAGTAATTTGAGTTACAAGCTCCATCACGGAACAAATTAAACTCTTAAGTCAAGGCCCCACTGTATTGATGTTCAGCTGTTTATTAAGAAACAAAAGACTGACCCTCCGGTTTTCCTACCTGAGATACAGACATAGGTGGGAGGAAAAGTATTAATTTTTTTTTAACCCCCACAATAGCCCAAGAGTCATTCTACCTTAGGGCTCAGGACTGAAATGTAACTTCAGTCAAGATGTTTTCTTTAGCCTGCCAGAAGTCCCGATCTTGCGACCGTTCGTCAGATCCCAGCTCCTGTCTTCTGCTGCCTCCAAGGTTGCTGATGACAGAGAGAGAGAGAGAGAGAGAGAGAGAGAGAGAGAGAGAGAGAGAGAGAGAAAGCGCTTTCTAGAAGTATGATTTTAAAGCTAAATTGAATCAAAGTCAGAAGGACCCTTGGTTTCATGTCTAGACTTTGAGCTTCTAGAACAAAGTGGTCAAAACGTCCTGCTGCCCTAGCCGGTTTGGCTCAGTGGATAGAGCGTCGGCCTGCGGACTCAAGGGTCCCAGGTTCGATTCTGGTCAAGGGCATGTATCTTGGTTGCAGGCACATCCCCAGTAGGGAGTGTGCAGGAGGCAGCTGATCGATGTTTCTCTCTCATCGATGTTTCTAACTCTCTATCCCTCTCCCTTCCTGTCTATAAAAAATCAATAAAATATATTTAAATAAAAAATAAAAAAAAGTCCTGCTTTCCAGAGCCTTCATCCCGGGTCGGGGAGACATGATGGAGTTCTGGTAGCGTAAGTAGCTAGACATTAAGAACGAAAGGGAGCCCAATATTCTAGGAAGATGAACGGACAGTAAGCCTGCTTCATTAGGAAGCTGCAGCCTCACACACTCCTCAGGGACCACCTCCCCTCCGCCTGTTCTGGGATTACTGAGGGAAGGAAAAACAGCAGGGGAAAGTCCTCCGCTAGATGCATGTCCTGTAGAGGCCTAGAAGCCCAGGTGGTAGTCCCTCCACTTTGGGGCATGTGCAGCAGGAATTAAGAGAGTGACAAGGGGCAGAGCCTAGCCTGGGGAAAGAATGAATTGGATAAAGCACACAGAACCCTGGAAGATCTAGGAAATTGACCGATTAAGGAGAAGACCCATCAGAAGCCCAGGAAAGCCCGGCCGGTGTGGTTCGGTGGTTGTAGGTCGGCCTATGAACCAGGAGGTCACGGTTTGACCAAATTCGAATTGGTCTGGGCACATGCCTGAGTTTCAGGCTCCATCCCCAGTGTGGGGCATGCAGGAGGCAGCCAATCAATGATTCTCTCTCACCATTGATGTTTTTCTTTCTCTCCCTTCCTCTCTGAAATCAATACAAATATAAAAAAAAAAAAAAGAAGAAGAAGAAGAAGAAGAAGTCCAGGAAAAGTTGGGAGATTGGGAAATTGGTTAGTTTGCAAGGGCGCCTGGTCTTCCCTGAGCCCGAGATAACATTATCCAAGCTTAACCAAGTGCTTTCTCACCAGCTGGGTTAACACTTGCACTTTCTCTCTCCCGGTAACAGCCTTGTGCATTGTGCGCCAGGCAGCCGCTGGGGGCCCAGGGAGAGCCTAAGTACAGCAACACAGCGCCAACCGGAGCGCAGCCGGGCACAGACTGTGCTAGCCGGACGGGGACAGGCATGGACTAAGGCTGAGTCACTAAGCCAACACCACAAATCGCTGGCATTGGCCCTACTCTGGGCCTGGTGAAGACAAAGCTGGGCTTCTCCATAGCGGGACCGACAGATGAGACATCGGAAACCTAGGGGCAGCCTCCTCTTTCTACCCCAATAAATCTTACCACAACACTTCAACCTCCCATGCGTGGTCCCCGGAAATGCGTTTCCACCGGCAACAATTCAAGGAAGGAGGGGTGCGCAGGGAGGAGCAAAGTAGGGAAGGGGTGAAGGGCGATCAGCAGGGAGAGGCCAATGACAGGGGCCCCTGAGGAGGAGGCGCATGGACAGAGACCTGAATGAGTCGAGGAACTTTCAGATTCTGGGGGACCAGCGGAGGCAAACCCCCTGAAGAACACCCAAAAGGCCTTGGCTGAGAGGGGTCCCCGGTCGGTCAGTACGAGGGTCTGCAGTCTGGTTAGGGGGCTGGGCTGTGTGCCCAGGAGCACGGGAGCCTCTGGGGCATAGCCTGGGCCCAAGGGCGGCAGCAGTAAATCCGACGGGAGCTCATAGAAGGTTCAGGCAAAAGATGTGAGAGGAACCCGTGAAAAGGGGCTGATGCAGGGTTCATGCTGAAGGCAGAGCCCACCGGGTAAGCTGATGGAGTCACGCAGAGTGGGAGGGAGGGAGAGGAATTGGAGGTGACTCCTAGCTTGAGGCCTGAGCCGGTGTTTGCTCTGTGGTCAGGGGACTGTTCTGGGACACGTTTGTCTTATCTGATTCGCCTCCAGGAGGACAGTGGTCACCCCCGTTTCTGGAAAAGCTTCTTCTTCCCCAGAAAGGCAGCCGAAGGAGTGGGCTGGGGAGCGGACATTCTTGGGAGCAGCTGAAATTCACCGAAAGGCAGCTGCCACTCTGGTGACAGACACGGAGCCCTGGCTGCCTCTGGCCCCTCCCGGCCCCAGCCGGCTGCAAGCTAAACATTCATTAGGCAGAAACTGCAAAGTCTCATAACCGGATGGGCTGCCAGAAGCGGGGAACACCAGGAACGCCCAGGTCTGGGGTCTGATGGGGGAGATGCCCTTTGCTTGGAGAAAGAGCCATGGAGGCCCCACCCTCTGCCAGGGGCGGGGCATGCAAGGGGCCTTTTGATCAATGGACAGTGGATTGGGAGACACCACTGCGCCCCCTCCACCTACCCCCCCCACACACACACACACACAGAGCATGGTGGGAGGACAAACCCTCACGGGGCACCTCACTGCCTTCCAGGCCGAACCTGTGGAATGCCAGCCCCCTGCCTGCTCCCTGAGACCAGCCCCCTCCAGTGGTATGTGCTGGGGTTGGGGGACTTCCTCCAGGCCTTGTCTGGGATTAGGGCTGGGCCTGTGGAACCAGAACATCCACCAAAGACATCAGTAAACACGCCGCTAGGGCCTCGCACACAGAAACCAAACAAACACCTCAGACAGGGAGCTCTGTGTCTGGGGCTGAGCTGGGGGGCGGGGGGAGGGGGGGGATGGGGGGGAGAGGCTTCAGGCAGCCACATGGCCCACCCCTGCCAGGCTCTTTACCTGGTTCTTAGCCTCATCCCAACCAGCATCTACTGGAAGTCTGCAAGATGAACTGGACAAAACTTACCTCCTACCCCTTCTAGCCCACAGGGTTCCAAGCCTGGCCTGCACAGCCTCAGCAGAGAGGGGCAGGCTCAGCAGCCTGCTGCTGACCACCCACACTCACACACCCACTCACACACCCACACACTCACACACACACCCACTCACACACTCACACACCCACACACTCACCCACTCACACACCCACACACCCACACACTCACACACCCAAACATGCACACACACACTCACACACCCACTCACACACCCACACACACCCTCACACACACTCACACACACCCACACACTCACACACTCACACATCCACACACACTCACACTCACACCCACAAACTCACACACTCACACACACCCACACACTCACACACTCACACATCCACACACACTCACACCCACAAACTCACACACTCACTACACACACTCACATACACACACTCACACACCCACACACTCATAACCCTCACTCATTCCCACTCACATGCTCACATGCACACTATACACATGCTCACATACTCTCCACACTCATACAGTCACACACACTCACACTCACAGACTCAAACACACACACACACACTCCTTCACCCAAAGCAGCTCTGCCCTCACTGGCTTCCCGTCCTCCGCTCCGGTAAGAGATTACTTAGGCGGGGCTTCTCCCTCTTCTAAAACTCAGTAGCTGGTGCGTTAGCCCAGCCCCGGCAGCTTGCAGAGCAGAGCGCTGAGGTAGGAGCGGGGGCTCAGCCTGCCTGAGATCCCCAGCTGGGCAGGCGCCAAGGGTCCCGGCTGTCTGCCCCCGGGAGGGTCTGAGCTCAGAGAAGAGAAAGAGGTAAACACCGCAGGCACCTGGCAAGAGCAGGTGGCAGGCCAGGGTCCGGGGAGGGACCCAACCGAGGGCTGCTGGAGCTCAGGGAAGGAGACCCCCTGAGAGAGGCCTGGGGTGAGCAGGGAGGGCCTCCTGGAGGAGGAGGACTTTGGACAGAGCCCAGGGTGAGCAGCAATAAGGGAGTGAGGACAAGCAGGTGGCAGATGGGTGGAAAGTTCCAGTCACACAGGATCCTGAGTGTGTTCAAGTGTGCAGCACCCGCGAACTTGTTTAAATCATCAGCTCCCCTGTGCTGTAGATACCGCTGTAGACAGCACTAGCCCCACGTTACTGACTAGGAAACTGAGCAGAGCTTACGGAAGCCAAGTCCAGTAAGTGGCGGAGCGGGGATTTCACCCCGGGAGGCCTGGCCCCGCGCCTCAGGCCTAACGCCTGTGCCGAAGGGGAACTTGGGCAGTAGAGGCTGCAGAGCCGCCTGGACTCAGACCAGGAAGGGCCTTTGCAGGTCACGTCGCTGGATTTGAATTTTTCTTTCTGAGTCAGAAGGTGACACACGCAAAGTGTCAGATGAGTCAGAGAGCCAGGAGCTGGGTGCCCTGAAGCTGGGAACACGGGGCTGTTGTCCCAGCTGGGTGTCCCAGCGCCCCCTTCATTCCTTCCCTCTGCCGCCCCCATACTCCTAGCCTTTATCGCTTCAACACCAAACAACGGTGGCACCTCCCTCCGAGCTGGTCTCCGGGGCTCTGCCCGCTTTGGTGGAGTCGCTGCTCACCAGCCTCGGTGGCAGCCTGCTTTCCGCAGCAGCGACTCGCAGTGTGGTCCTCAGACCCTCGGGGACAGCCTCACCTGGAAGTTCATTTAAAACGCTGAGTCCTGGGTTCCTCCCCAGGGCCACCGAATCAAACCCCTGTGGGTGAGACAATACATTTATACGTCTGCTTCTGGGCTCACCAAAGTTTGAGAACCAGCAGCCCAAGAATGAGATGTGAAGCTGAAGGTGTGGGAGAGTCACAAAGCTAAATCAGCCAGGCCCCGACGGTGTGGCTCAGTGGTTGAGCGCTGACCTATGAACCAGGAGGTCACAGTTTGATTCCCAGTCAGGACACGTGGCCAGGTTACCAGTTCAACCCCCAGTAGAAGGTGTGCAGGAGGCAGCAGATCAATGCTTCTCTCTCATCATTGATGTTTCCATCTCTCCCTCTCCCTTCTCTGAAATCCATAAAAATATATATTTTTTTAAAGATAAATCAGCCATGAGAAGCCTAGCCACAGGCAGCGTGCGGCTAGCAGGGAAAGGCTCTGCTGGCATTGCCAAAACCTGGGGTGTGAGAGACCCCGTTCCAGGCCTGGTGTGCTGCTTTCTCTCTCACTCTGCTCAGCTGCTAAATTCTCAAAACATTCGACGGGTCTGAGATGTCTTCTTTTCGCACGCTAACCAGCTACCCTGCAGAAGACCCGAGGGGCCCAGGTCAGAGACAGAAGACTTCCTTACTCGCAGCACAGCAAGCAGCTGGCGCTTCATGTTTGCACGGATTCCTCTTGCCCCGCACCCCAGGTACCACGGGGACAACACAAAGCTGGACCCCGCTGGGGGCTACATTACGCAATGCTGAGAAACCCCACGCTCTGGAAAACCAAATCCTTTCTAATGGGTCTGCAAGCAAACCCGTCTGATGGCTCTCTGCTCCGGGAGGAAAAAATCCTCCTTATTAAGACAGAACAAGAGGGAGAAACGTGCCTCTGGCCCTCTCCTCCAAGACAACTCACTACGAAAACATCCTTGAAAAGACAGATCATGGGCAGAAATGCCAGAGGTCCTTGGAGATGTATCTCCCAACACAAATGAGACTATCTCTAAGTGAGATGGAGATGTAAGCTTTCCATCAGATCACATGGATGAAAATTCCTGAGAACAGGAGGGATCATTGCAGAGGAGATAAGATAAGATCTAGATCTAGAGTGGAAAGCGATAAGCAGGGAGCCTTTCGTAACAGAGCCTTTCGTAACAACAAAGGGGGAAATATTGGCAACATATCATGGGCCAAAGGCTAACACCCTTCAGCATATAAAGAGTTCCTACAAATAACTAAGAGACCAATACCCCGGGAAGAAGGAAAGAGCAAGAATATGAACAAACAGCCCTGGCCAGCGTGGTCCGTGTTTAGAGCATCAGCCTGCACGCCCCAGTGTCTCTGGGTCTATTCCCAGTCAAAGGCACGTACCTGGGTTGCAGGTTCGATCCCCGGGCTCCGCCCTGTTGGGCATGTGTGGGAGGCAACCAATTGATGTGTCTCTCTCACATCTCTCCCTCTCTCTCTCCCCCTTCCCTTTCCCATCCCCTGTCTAAAAAAATCAATGGGAAAAATACCCTCGGGTGAGGATTAATAAAAAACAAACAAACAAAAAGAATAAGAGCACACAGCTCCCAGAAAAGGACATGCAAATTGCATTTGGACATAGGAAAACACTCAACCTCACTCACAATAGGAGAAATGCAAATTTAGACTATTATGCAATCTCGCTTGGTTCATGTCAGATTGGTAGAGATGGGAAGGGTTGATAATTTATTGTCTGTTGGAAACATAGGGAACTGGACAACCCACACATTCTTGGTCGCAGTAAAATCAGCACACACTCTGTGAACAGTGATTTCCAACATCTATCAAAATTTTAAATCTAATTTTTGACTTACCAACTTCTCTCACAGGTATTTCTCTTTTAGGTGTACCTTTGCACACGTGCAACATGACATGATGTCCTGGGATGTTTGTTGCAGCTTTATTTATAACGGCAAAATACTAGAAGCGCCTAAATATCCATTACATGACACTCTATGCAGCAGAATATAGTGTCACCATCTTAAAAGAATGAGGCAGTGCTATATGGGACAGAAAAAAAATAAGTTCAAGCCCTGGCCGGGTGGCTCAGTTCATTGGAATGTTGTCTCATGCACCGCAAGGTTTTGGGTTCAATTCCCGGTCAGGACACATACCTAGGTTTCGGGTTCAATCCCTGGTCGGGGCACATGTGGGAGGCAACCAATTGATGTTTTTCTCTCACATCAATGTTTCTCTCTCTCTCAAAAAATCAATGGAAACATATCCTCGGTGAAGATTAAAAAAAATTATTTCAAAATATTTTATTAAATGAAAAAGATTGCAAAGCAATGTATATAGACGGCTGCCCTTACATGTGTGCTCCGGGGAAGAGCAGAGACACACTTGTGTTTGCAAACAACTAGGCTCTCTTTAGAAAGGTGCACAAGAAAGTGATGGCATGGGATGCTTCTTGGGAGGGGAGCTGGGAGATTGGAATCAACGGATGCAGAAAGACTAGCATTTTCTTATCTGTTCTTTAAATTTTTGTACTGTATCAGACATACACAGCCTTCCAAAAACTATATAAAGTCTTCCAAAACTGTATGTAAAATATATAGTCTTCCAAAAATGAAATATACACTTGTTAAATGAACAAACAAACAAACAAACTTGGGCATTGTGATCTGCCAAGAAATTTAAATGGGCTGAGACCCCCAAGTCTGGGCCCAGCTGGCCTCAAGCCAGCAGCAGCCTCTCTGGATCTCCACGGCTGCAGGTGAGCTCCCTGGGCAGTGCCCAGCTTTGCCCGGAGCCACACCCAGGAAGCCTCATTCGTGCCCTCATTCATTCCTCCCCCAGGCATAGGCTCTGAGCCAGGCCCAGTGCCAGGTGCAGAATACAGAGATGAAAGAGACCCAGGCCCAGCCCCTGCCAGCTCCCTGTATAGCGGGCGGGGTAGTGGTGGGGCAGGGAAAGATCCCTGCAAATCGCTACAAAACGGATGCTCAGTGGTGCAGCGTGGTAGCCGCAGTTAAGAGCTATGAGTGAGGGTGTTGGGTGTTTGAGGCAGTGACAAGCTGGCCTTTGAAACCTGAGCCACGCCTTGGTTTGAGAGCCCAGTTATTTAACCTCCCCGAGCTTCAGTTTCCTCCCTGTAAAATGTGGCCTGGCTTTCAGTCATGATCCACTCTTGATTTTATAGCCTGTCACCCAAGGCCAGTTACTTAACCTCTCCGCGCCTCCGTTTCCTCATCTCTGAAATGGGGCTAAGAACACCGCTTCAGGGTTCGTGGGGGATAAATAAAAATTGTCTGTGAATAACACTACCTGGGGACACATTGTGGGGGTTGGGGGAACAGGGCTAAATGGAGAACACCCCCGAGGGGACAATGTCAAGGGTCAGACTGGCCAGGACCAGTCCTGAATAAAGCAGTGGCGTGAACACAGCGGTGATGCTAACCGGGCCCCCAGCAGGGCTCGCTGTACCTTGGGGGGCAGTATTCGCCCCCTCCACTCAGAG